CAATGTCTGAGACACCTAATTGACAAAAACAACTGTAGCACTTTCATTCGATGAAATAGTAGCACACACTATAGAATACTGAGAGCATCTAGAAAATAAAACTACCTGGAATATGAATCCTCATCAGTCTTGTTGCTACCAATAGTATCATATACCTTCACAATTAAGAATCATGCATCAGCAGCTTCTTTAAAAATTTCTTCAAGAGCTTTTTTAACAGGCTCTATGACAATTCTCCAAGAAATTACAGCACAAGGACCAAGAGAATGAATAAGCATTATCCAGAGTAAGTAGGGTTTTTGGCCAGAATATAGTATGAAAATCAACTAAAAGGTGGTCATAGAAGCAATAACCAAGAACCGTCTAACATTTTTGTTACTCACAGGCACACATGTGATCAATTGAAATTCATTCTGGCAAAGCGGGCATAGATTTGTGATTGTAGCCCAGTTGTCAATGCATGTAAAACAGAACCTGAAATTTGAATCATAAGCTCAGGTTATAATTTACATGTGATCCAGACAAGCTGGATTAACTTCAAAACTAGTAACAGAATCAGGAGATATAGTTCCACTAAATTGCATCTTAACTAATCACATTAACCAGAATACGAATGTTTGATGTCTAAAAATTACCATAGGCTGACTACCATAAGACATACATGTCAGAGTCACTAAGGACTATGAAAACATAAATCAGAAAGTTAAACATATTGAGCCAATATTCATGACAATATTGCAGGAGTATGGGTATGTATTTAGTACACCAGCAAAAGGATACTAGTCTCTTCTGAATAGACATAAGACCAGTAAAACAACTGAGTGACAAATACCACCAAGGGCCCCCACCTCAGCCAACCCTTGCCCACCCTCACCACCAGAAATACAAAAAATTTTAGTGCTATATAAAGTGATCAAACACATACCAGTGCTGACAACAATCAAGAACTCCTCTGTCAATGACAATATCCATACAAATACCACATCTTTCACCGTCAAAATTCATATATTCCTGAAAAGAAAGAAGCCCATTAGAGGCACAATAACACACATTCACCATTCTTCAGCAAATTTATCAAAAATTGCTTATCTTGTCAATGTCACAACACATAGAAACTTATATTATGATTAAAAAAAATGAAAAACTAAACACAATCATCAAAAATCAGAGTTGAAAACAGAAGGAAGCCAGAGAAAATGAATCAATTTTTTTGGAACATTTTGGAGAATAAACTGAAATTTAGGGCCACTCCCCGAAAATCTGTATCTGACTTCTATGGCAGTATTTGAATTTCATGGTCATAGTTCATCTACAAGATACTGGGAAGACGCCGCATGGGGGTGAATCAAAACGAAATCGCTTGTTACGCAACTCAATTTCAGATTAATAGAGATCATTAAGAATTGGTTCATCGAATAATCAAACCCAGCATGAAAACAACTTAATGTTTCTTTGTTTCTAAAGCTCACCTTGGTAAGTATAGAATGTGATATATACAAACAACAACAATTAAGCTACTCGAGCTTGATTCAAGCTTGGGTTGATAAAAGCTCATTCCACCCAGGGCTTGTTATAATCAAGCCAACAATCACACCAGTCAGGAATGCAAATTTCAAGCTTGATAAGAAATCAAACCAAGCTTAGAATACAGGAGTTACAATGCTATGAATTGCTCTTCATAGCAATAACTTACTCTAACAATTAGCACTAAACCGTAAGCTAAGCAAGTAAACTAGATTATTAAAGTTTTACTCCCCAGATCAATTTTTTTAGGCTCTGAACAGTAAGAAGAACTAAACTGTGTAACCAATTTTACTGCCTCTGGTGATGAAAATGAATTAGAAAGAAAAATGACCTCATTATTTTCATCAATTCTATAGCCTTCATCATCCGATGTTCCTTCTGTAACCAATTCCACATCCATAGCTTCGTATAGACCTGAAATTTAACCCCAGAAAAAAAAAAGAGATGCGACTTTTGGAGTGAAGAAAATGAATTAACCAATGTAAAATTGAAACGCAATTTATGATCGCCTCGTACCTAGGACTTTACCAGTTCTAGCAGTGAATAGCAGTTGAAGCTGTAATGTGCCCAAAGATTAACGGAGAATAATAATAATAATAATAATGGGGAAAGAAAAAAGAAAAAAAGGCAAGATCATCTGTGGGAGAGAGAGAGAGAGAAAGGGGGCCGCGAAAGGGGGACTCACAGGCCCCCATTGTCTTCGTTTAGTATCGGACATGGTTCTTGCAAAGTGACTAGCAATGGGTCCAAGTTACCAGTACTGTTTAGCTTTTTAGGGCCTGTATTCAAGCCCATATAATGAGTGCTGCGGAAAGAAACCAATTTATTGGTGATGGCCCAAGATGAATAAATAGCTGCCTTGAAGATGTGTAGAGGCCTCAATTTGGTCGTGGAAACACCGCTTTCGGCCCTTTCCTTGTATTTTCCGGTCAGAGTTGATAATGCCATTGCCACCGCCCGACGAGTCCTCCATTTCCTTCGTTTATTTTTTATTAGTAAATGCCGAAAAAATCACTCAATTATGTAAGATTGCACCGTCCGGTCACCAAATATTTTCTTTAGCCGACGAGGTCACTAAACTCGTAATAGTGTATCTTTTTTGATCATTTTGTCGAATTCTAGTGTTAAAATAGTTGAAAATGAAATTATACAAGTAATACGCTTAGGTTTTTAACACCAAAAATATCTCACAATCTTTTCGAAAAGGGATGAATTGAATGGTAAAGAAAAAAGAGTATAAATAAGAAGTCTCAGATTTGAGATCTCTCACTTATACTGAAAAAAAAAATTGAAAAGAGATTAAGGATCTTCTCATATTACAATTGAAATCTTTAACCGCGCTTGGAAAAATTGGTCAAAATCTGAAGAGAATAAGTGAAGTTTGAAAATTCAAAAAGCCCTCAATCTTTGTTTCTAGTAATATGTATCAAAGACTGTGAGACATTTAAGTCTTTGAGAATCTAAAAGTGTACCAGACTACTGGTCACATGGATGCATTTTCAGCTATTTTAGTACCGGAATTCAAAGAAATGACTTTGATGACTTTTGCCAAAAAGAAAAAAAAAAAAGGTTTAATGACCAAACGATATAATTTTAAATAATTGAGCGATTTTTTTTTTTTTTTTTTACCATTTGCTCTTTATTTTTTGTTATTAGTGTGGAGTGTAAAGTGGACATAAATAACGGTAGTGTGTTGTACTTAAAAGAATTTTGTATGTCCTGCTACTGGGGAAGAAAATTAAAAAAATAAGCTATCTCATGACTTTGTGTGCGTCTTGCTTATTTTATTCATGATTATTAATCCAAAGACCGCAGGATTGGATAAACAGCACAATTTTTACCAAAGAAACTAGAAAATATTTATATTATTCGTAGCAAAATAATTAAATAAAATGAATGGGTGACTAAGGTGTCATTCACCTCAAGGCTCAAACGGACCGCGTCTCAGTTGGGAAGGTCACAACTGGCGAAGCTTCTCTTCAACTCTCATATTGTGGACGGTGATGTATTGGTATTCTGTTACTTCTCTTCTGCTGCGTAAATTCGAACATCACCAATAGTAGCAACACAAATGTCCTTTTGCTATCTACCAACAGATTGATGCAATACTTGGCCAAAATTAATTGTCAATGTAACGTTCATAAATCAACTCGTTTAGGTGAGTTGGCCATGAATTTTAAATTTCTTGTTTGGGCAAGGATCGCTGCTGAATTGTAGTGAATCCAGAAAGTGCACTCTTCTGACCTAAAGCGTGGACAGAAGAGGCAGGACCCGTGGAGGGGATAGAACTTAGAAGGTGCCTTGCTAGCAGTGTAATAGTTCTAAATGACCATTGTTTTCTTTTCTGAATAAATCTTATATACACTGACAGTGTATACATTATTACAGTTGGATGCATGACACGTATGCAAAATTTGGATTTCAAATTTAAATCTGAATTATGTGTCATGTATCTAATGATGAAAATATATATACTATCATGTCTGTGCATAGAAGAAGGTTAATCCTTGTTTTCTTCTGTACCAAATTTTCTTGAGTTAGGTGGTCTGATTTGGATTTGCCCTTATGACTTGTGAATTAACTAACGAGCCAGAATAGTCCTGTTACTTTTTAAGTCATTCTCTCTCTAGAATGGTCTCTCAAGTCTCATCTTCTGATTACTCTATTGAACACTGCACCTTCTCTAGTTGTGCTGAGTCTTACGCCACTTAAAATGAGGTCATAAGCTAATGTCAGTGTTTTGATCTTTGAGTTTTTATTTGGCACAGCTATTAAACTATGATGGTTTTCGAGTGCAAGGCTAATGTGACTCTTAATAGTCCTCATTGCGTTTGCGGGATAACAAAATGTCAACCATCTTCTCCGGATCTGCAGACACACACGTTAGAACAGTAGTACTAATAATGTAGACAAATATTCATTTCTTAATAGCAGCATGCATTAGACTATTAGCTCAGTCCAATAGTCCATGCATAATGCAACTAAATAAATGTGGTCCTGTAGCGACCCGGCATTGTCACAAGACTACGAGAACAAATAAAACAGAAGTCCGAAAACTGAAAGAAGAGGAATGCACCATTTAAAGAGAGAGATTAGCACTCTGAAGATGAACTCAGTTTGATGTAGCCTACACCAGCTAAAGAGCAAAGAAGCATATAGTACTAATAAATTACAGGTGAAGTCACGAGTTCTTCCGTTTTTTATTTCCTTCATTCCAACTCCTAATTATATATGGTTAACATCTGGTAATTGTCCAAGTTTCCATATTTTTACAATCCTTCTACAACTCCATATAACATATGTCAAAAAGAGTTTGTACGATGTTGCTTGTCGACTTGTGGGATTCCCGGTCCCCAAGTGATTTTTGTGGATGTTATTCTTCATCACTATTGTGCGGTATATGTTAGCAAGTTCGACTGTGCTGCATTAGAGTGGAAAAGTTGAAAAGTGCTTTTGTTTTGACTTATTTTCTCATATTGTTCCTGCGTCTTCCTGTTTCAATCAGTTGCGGTGTTACCTGGAGAAATGTTTAAGAACTCGCAACCATCCCAGGGCGGTCCATGCCAAAAGCCACCAACCCCAAGTGGTCTTTTAAAGAATAAAACCAAATTCTGTATATTTGACATAGATTGGTATTGGAACGGTTATCTCCGTTCCTATCTCAGAAGGTCGCCTGAGTTTTTTGGTGCTGTATATTCTATTTAGTACAATGAAAACATAAAGCGTTTATGGTAGCTGCGCTTTCAGGTCTCAACTCTATGCACTGCAGAGCTAAGTGCTGTCCGATAATGAGGACTTGCATGACAATTTATAATTGTTTTCTCGTTATCATTTCAACCAGCATCACGACCATCCTTGTTAATTTTATTGTTATTGGCTTCCTCGTCTCCCATTGGGTGTTGAATAGATGGATGTTGAATTTCATTTGCATATTGATGCTGTTCTCTTATTGATATTTTTTACGATGCTAATCTTGACTAGGATGGTGCTGCATAGATTTACTCAGTAGAATCCTAAGATTCACTTTAGTGGTTCAGCTATAGGCAGCTAAAGGAAATTGAGTTGTTTTTGGTCGGCTGGAGATCTGGCAAATTCTGTGACGGACAAATAAGTCATCAAACATGATGGGTTGTCTATTGATATTAGTTGCTTGCCTGGCAAAAAATACCACTTTTGATTCATTTATGTTCATGTACTGAAGAGCAGTGTTTTTTTACTTGAAACACAATGCGGATACACAGTTAAACCTTTTGATTTAGCTGCGTTTACTGGGGCGGAAATTGCTAATTGAACTATTAAATTCACTCTGCTGTCTTTCCGACAGAGTAACTCTGCCCCTGACCATTGACAACAGCTGCTACTAAACCTCAGTCTAAAGTCCGACCACTCCCCAACTCTTGCAAATTTTCTTTCACTATTCCTATGATGAAAGCGTCTTGATTTGCTGGACTTAGTTTGCCTCTTTTACTGTTACGGCAGGTGCAGTTCTTGACAAACGCAATTGAGTTTCAGGGACAGGTATACAAACTTGCTACAGGAATATGAATTCCATGGCAAGCTGCTTTTGCTTGAAGAGAGCTGGACGTCCAACTCTTGAGGAGCACTCTATACTTGCTTCTGAGACATCTTGTGAGTGGATTTATGCAACAGTGTTCAATTCTCTTTCGTGGAACTGCAATATAACTAGGCCTTGATCATCTATCATCTTTGATTTTCAACTGCAAATAAGTTGATGCACTTGCATAGAAAGCGTAGTGCTGGTTGTCTAAATTGTAATGCAAGGACAATTGAACTCGCTTTTAATAAAGTCACAAGGTCATTTCAGAAGAGTGAACCGTCAGTGGTATATTACTCTTTTCAATAGTAATCTTTAATCCATAACAATTTGACATAACCTTCTTCTAGAGTTTTCTGTCCTAGATGATGTTTTATGATTCATTTTTTGTGTCCAGTTGGCTGGTTAATCTAGTGAAAAATTCTAAGTCGTAATGGCTCAATTTCATTTGACAGTTACCGTGAATGAAGTAGACGCTCTCTATACTCTGTATGAGAAACTAAGCAGCTCCATCACTGATGATGGTCTTCTTCACAAGGTACTACGTCAAACTTTCTGAAGGTGCATGATATCAGATCTCACCAGTTCTGTCCTTTAATGATGTTAGCATGCACATTAGTCCATATCCAAGACATTAACTGCCTATATGTCTTGTTATATCTGTTTCTTTAAGAACATGACTCCAATATCTTTCTCTTTTTCTGTCTTCCGTAATTGTAAGAAGAGACAAACTTCAGACTAATCCACAAAATTTGTCTCCCAACTTTTTCACTGGAGATATCTTGAGTTATTTGGGTTGAACTTTGAAACAGTATCATATAGAAGGATCATGAACGTCAATATCTGGTTTCCTCATCCTCCCGTATTGAGTTGTTAAGCTGGTAGGCTGAGTGCTTTTCATCAGAGGGATCAAAACCTTCTTGCATGCATTCTCATGCATCTATTTCCACCAACTTTGCTTTGTGCATCGTTTGTAACTCTACTTTGTGCTTTCTTGCAGGAAGATTTTCAGCTTGCTCTTCTTGATAGCAGCAATAAGCATACTTTCTTTGCAGACAGGGTTTGTGATTTGGTCTTATTCTTATTCATCAAACGATTGCCCTTTTTTTTTTTTTTTGGAAATTATTGCTAACTGAGGGCATGGTAAAGTTTCTCAAGAAAGGATTGCTGCACCATTTATGTTCCTCAGCGTTGCAGAAAAAAAAATAAAAAAAATAAAGCAAAACAATAGCGTATGATCTAAAATTACTATACTGCCAAATTCAAATTCAGATTTAGATGGAAAATGTGGTATGTTCTCTAAAGAAACATTATAATGGTTCAAAGTTTTGTCTCTCAATTAATGGCAGCAAAGGTCAGAAGCCGGGATGAACTTGAGATTATGAAATAATTTTCTGGCCCTGACTTCATCTAATCAGTATTTTCATAGAAAATGTCCTTTTTTTTTTCTGTGATGATGCTTTGCTATGAACTCTTTCTATTACCCTTATCAAGCATGCTTGTCCCTCATCCTCCAAAAGCTAACAAAACTCTGTTCCGTGTGCTCTCACAATTGCAGTTGTTTGATTTGTTTGATCTTAAGCATAATGGAGTTATTGAATTTGGAGAATTTGTTCGTTCTTTAAGCATCTTTCACCCAAGAGCACCAGAGGCAGACAAAATTGCTTGTAAGGAATACAGTTGGTGATTCTAGAAATATTTATTCTGCTGTACCTCATGGCCTAGTTGAAATATTTGAATATTTTAAGATTTGCGATCATCAAATGGTACAATGCAACTTCCTGCAGCTAACTTAAGGAGATTCCTTTTCAGTTTCATTTAAGTTGTATGACTTGAGGTGCACTGGCTATATCGAACATGATGAGGTACATACCTTAGATTGGCAGTTATTCCAATTCTTCGGCTGTTTTATTATGTAGCTGAGTTAAGAGTTAACTGTGATATAGGGTGGCATCTCACTCATGCGTGCTGTTCAATTCGTTTGGTATGTTACTCGGAATAAGTTTACTTGAATCCGGAATATCAATCTTGATGCTTGGAAATTGGCATATCTTATAAGATCTATCAGGTTTTCATTTCCCATCTTAAACTAAAATCAGCATATATTCTTTTCAGCGCATCAAACTGGCTTCTGCCAATGGTCTGTCTAAAAATTTACCTCAGGTTTTCCTTTATCAGTAGTTACGGAGTTTTCCAAAATGGTATCCTTCAATTACTTATTGCATGGTGAACTTATGATTTCTCTAAATGACCAGAAACGCACATCTTGTGGCCTCCATCTGCATCTGATCACGGTGCCCCTCTTGCATTCACATTTGAATTTAGTCATAAAACAAAGCAAGAGGAAGTTAGAAGCATATACTGTCTCAAGTCCAATGTAGAATCTGGAGCGTATTGTGCAAAGTTAATAATGTTAAGAAATATTATGCTAGCTAAGAACGAGATAGCATCATGATTGCTAGAGTATCTGTAAACAAACGATTTGGTTTGCTAATTTAGCTGTTTCAGCTTACAAGTTTTGTAGACACAAACGGTTTTTTTTTCCTCATGAAGGTAGAAATGATCTCCGAACTTAATTCTTTGCAGTTGAAAGAAATGGTATTGGCCCTTCTACGTGAATCAGAATTGACACTTCCAGATGACGTTGTTGAAGCAATCGTAAATAAGGTGGTGAAAAATACAGTTAGATGCATCAACTTTAGAGTTGTGTAGTCTGGTCCTCCTATATCCTCTTATCAATTAATGAGAGCTTGTCTAAGTTGAAAATTTAACAGACAATCATGGAGGCAGATCTAAAAGGTGATGGGAGGATTGATCCAGAAGAATGGAAGGAATTGGTGGCAAGGCATCCTTCAGTGATAAAAAACATGACTCTTCCACATTTAAAGTAAGTGATCACTTCTCCGGTAACCTACCTTCATATATCTGGAACGACTGTTGCTTGCTTTATATGTTGGCTAGTTTTAAAAAACATGTCTTCTGATAAACTTTGAAAATGCTAATTGTGCAAGTACATCTTTTGCAGTAGGCACGAACTGACTGATGCCCAGGAATGACTTTTTGCAATCTGAGCTTGCCTTAGCTGATTACTTGTGTTTTTTTTTCCTTTCAAGTGACTCCGGCATTTCTTGTTGCTTTTATGAGATTAAAATTCAGAGTCCCTGTTGCAGGGAGATAACTTTGGCATTTCCAAGTTTTGTGATGAAGACGCGTGTTCAAGATTCAGAGCTCTTCTCTTAAAATGACAACCAACCGACCAAGCGTACCAAATTCTAGTGCTCTCTCTAGTGGTGTAATCAACGAGAAGCATTTTCTTTTTGCAGGTTTTAATACGCCATCTATCAGACATTAAAAAACATAGCCTGATATAAATCAGTCGTCAATTCACTATCAATCCTATGTTAGGTAGTTTGCCATTTTTATCCTCCTGAACCATCAGCATATGATGCGTTTTTAATTACTATTGCTGTTTCTTATCTGATCTCAACTCATAGAGCACCACGTAATGGAAAAATATATCTGCTTCCCTCGTTTATTCTGATCTTTCTAAAGCTTTTGGTTGCAGAAGGGGCTATACAGTCTAAACTGCTTATAGTGCAGGCAACAATGTATTATCTGAGATCTTGAAAAGTTACAAGAATAAGTTACCATGGCCCTACATCTATCCTTTGCAACTTCTTGTCTAAAATCTTTAATATTTTAGTTTTGCCAAGTAATCCTGCATGTCACGCCACATTTGCATTTGTTGTTCCAAAATCTTTGTCATCCAGGGGAGAAGAATAATGAGCTTATCGAGGGAATAAACCGGTTGCTTGTTGAAATTCCTTGCAGATTGAAAGTGAAGTAAAATCAGCTTATCTGCCATCAGTTCGAGAGCATTTGGATTGACAGAAGAAATCTATTCTTAGCAAGTTCCATCAAGAAAAGCAGCGGCACCAGATTCCGAAACAAATTTACGAAAGCCATAGGATATTTTGTGCTTGTACGTAGTGTTTATGGCCATTGCACATGCACGCGTGATCAAACCAAATAGATTTTACTAATTAGGAGGTGGAAAAGAACAGAGAGAGAACAATTTGACGCTCGAATCAACTTTCCATTTGAAAATGGAAACTTACTTCATAAAAGCCGATGGTTTTCCCATTTATATCCAGAATTCAGAATCAGGGCTCTTTTGATTTGGAGTGGGATGAAATTTTGCGGTTCCAATTTCCTTTTCTCGGACACGAATCAGGACTCCTGAGAGAAGTGACGTGAATAACCACTCAAAATAGACGGTCAAGAAGAGCAACTTTTTGGGAAAAGAGTATAAACCGTTGCCTTTTTTTATTTTTCGTGGATTTTTTTAGAAAGAGAACTCCTTGGGACTGTGGTATCCATTCACACCATTGCATCTAACTTCTTCGCATATATAATTGACTTCAGTGTTGGAGATTAATGCTGTGTAGTTATGAGCAATTGATAAGAATATGGCAATACTTACAAACTTTTTTCGTGTACTGCTTGGTTTTAGATACATACATGTCCTAATGAATCTCTGTAGTATTTCGCATAGTAACTAAAAATACAAGTATATAGCTTTCTACATGGGTAATTGGTGTATGAAGCAGCGGCATCAGGTATATCATGAAGATCCATCTGTTCTTGCATCTGAAACACATTGTGAGTGAGCTAGAACGCCACCTCTCTTTTAGGAGGTTATTATACACATTTCATCTTCTTCAATTTACTACACATGGCTGCAGTTACTGTGAGGGAGGTGAAACTGTTGTACAAGTTGTTCAAGAAATTAAGCAGCTCTATAACTGATGATGGATTTATCAGCAGAGTAGGTTTTATCACTTGTTCTGCGTGTTTCATAATTACTACTACTGCAAAAGATTACTGCTGATGTTTCAATCAGCAACTTAAAAATGCAGTACCACTTTTCAGCACTTGTTCATAAGTATTAGCTTTGGTGTCGACGGTGCAGGAAGAGTTTCAGCTCGGATTGGTTCAAAATAGCAAGAAGCAGTCATTCTTTGCAGATAGGGTGAGCCAGCTTTATGCTGTTTGTTGATGGAATATGCAGCATAATGAATGTTATTCACAAATCCCAGTTTTAGCTATTATCTCTCTCTATTATTCCATCATCCGTATCATTATGATGTTTTATCTCTGTCAACCTCTGCAGATGTTCAATTTATTTGACTACAAGAGTGATGGAGTGATAGATTTTGGTGAGTTTGTCCGATCTTTGAGCATCTTTCACCCCGACACACCTGAAGCCGAAAAAGTTGCTTGTATGGAAATTCATCCTCTACAAGTAGTACATTTTGAATGCAAATAGAAAATTATGCAGGCTTGAGGTTGCATTAAAACTTTTTCTGTGATGCAGTTGCATTCAGACTATATGACATTTGGCAGACAGGATTTATAGAAACTGAGGAGGTAAGTCAAATATTACAATTGTGAAATTCAGTTCTCCCAACCTGCACTTCTGCTGCGGATGGATGGACAAGCAAAACATTTTACACACAAAAGGCGATTGTGACAAAATCTTTTGAAGCACAGGGATGTCTTCATGATTCATGAAGTTTCAGAGCTTAAGACATTTAAGTGGTCATGCATGCTCCTCTCTCATTCCATATTAGGTCAAGGAGATGATTTTGGCATTCCTAGATGAGTCAGATTTGACGCTGTCCGATGATACTGTTGAACTCATAATCAGCAAGGTATAAATAGAATTTAAGTTCTAAATCTAGAGTCTGTTTTACCTTTTTAGGAGTATTCCCTGCCTTATATAGTACGGTTTTGTGAAGACATTTGAAGAAGCTGATTCAAAGAGAGACGGAAAGATTGACACGGAAGAATTTAAGGATTTTGCTGCCCGGAATCCATCCTTACTAAAGAACATGACAATTCCATACCTGAAGTAAATCTCTCTTATTCATTCAGTTGCAAAGTCCTGGAATGCTACTTCCGCATGGACTAGCTTAAGCCCTCTTGAAAATTTTACCATCTCATAGGTGTAAATACTCGAAAAGCAAACTTATTCAGCACTCAATGCAAGCAAGGAGATTGTTTGACTTAGAGCACACTAGTTTAAATTCATAATAGAGGTAAATATGCTGTTGGTTATTCACCTCTTCCCCATGCTTCAACTTAGTCAATCAAATTGCTTTAAGTCTATAGTTGACTTGGTGGAAAGATTAAAAAGCATTTGAAATTGCAGACAATTGAAATTCTTTGGACAGAATAAATAGGCTTATTTTCCTGAAAATGGTATGACTACTTGATCCAATAAAAAATTATTAGTTGTCCTAGTTTTTTCCTTTCAGAAGACAAATTACTTCTTTTTTTTCCCCCCCTCCCTCTATTTGCAGGGACATAACTACAGCATTTCCTAGTTTTGTGCTGAAATCTGAGCCGGAAGATGGGATTACCAAGGCGTTTTGAGGATGTTATGACCAATTAGACTTGTTAAATGATGCAGAGAGTAATTAAAGGATGACAAAACACATCCCTTTGAACACTGAACAGATGAAGTGTTTATGTAGAATAAGTTTGACGTAAAGTTGCAGTTAAAGTACGATGTGAAACCTTTTAAGATGGTGTTTTGGTTCACTTATTCATCACTCAACTAACCTGAATTTACATCTATTTCTTTCTGCCTACAGGAAAGATCAACATTTAAAGCCTTTCCATTCTGCATGTACGATAATATAATTGAGGGATAAATCAAGAAGCAAACTGAGACTAGGAAGTGCTTCTAAGAGGAAAATCATGTTATATCCACCAAGGCATCAAATGGAAAAACAAAAAAGTTTATACTGAAATCTACCTTATCAGTGTTTGACGTTGCTTCAAAATCAACCAAGTACGCTACAAAATACGTTTGACAGGATCTCAGAAGCAAAACAAAATTCCCGTCTAATGCATGGAGAGTTTGTCAATTGCTGCGCTTCCATGTCTAATCATTTTGCTTCTGAGCAATCATGTCCTTCAAGTTCATGGGGTAGCATATATTGGTATGCAAACCGGACCATACATTGTCAGCCAAAATAGCATTTACTGCATCTGTTGGATGAAATTGGTCCCACCAAATGTGATTTGAAGCATTACTGCATGCCATTTCAGGAGTAAGGCATGTTATCCAACCCTTATATTTCCCTAAACCACAGCAAGCATTTGCAGTAACATTGAAACCTGGGACAGCACAAAAAGTGATGGCATAAGACAAAATGCTACCAGTTCAAATGAATTGATCATTGTGAAACCATAAGATCTCACCATAATGGTCATGATTCTTGATTATGTCCATTGAAGCTTCAAATGCATCACAGAAGATTATGTTGGAGTCCATGAGCTCCTGATTTAGTTCATCTACCATGTATCTCATAGCATAGTTAAACTCCATTATCATGTCATTTATCTTCTCAATACACCTCCCATGTTTGCTGCCATACATCCACAGATAGTAAGGAGCACATCCCAAAGGGGCGAGTCCCATCACAACCACTTTTCTGACGTTTGCAGTGTACAAATTCTGTTCAAACATTATGCCTTAGATGAATTCTGAAGAAAGCTTAAGCAATGTGTCACACTGAAAATGCTCAATTGGGAAGAAAGAACAATAACAACTGAACACCTTGTGAAAGAGATGCTTGCTCAACATTTTACCAGGGGACTACAACAGTATATTTAAAACAAAAAGAAAAAAAAATTCCAACTATATACTCCTAAAGGACATGAATTGCAGGGAAATTTTAGTATCTATACCAATTAACCAAAAAGGGGAAGGCAACTCCTGATATTTTTTGGACCCAGGGATGCAGGGGCCAAGAAAGTTCTGTTTTTGTGAAGCATTGCAGATGAAGAGGACATGTTTCTTGTGGAGATATTTTCTTAGTTGCTGTGTAAACACAAGGCCATAAAATGATGAAGCAAAATAATCACCTTAATTTCCTCCTTCATTGTATCTGCTAAGAACTGGTTGAAACCCCAAGGTAGGTACGCAGATTGCACATTAGACACATTACGAAGATAGTAATGTATGTAGTCATTGCTGCCAATCGATATGTAAAATATAGATCTTGACATCAGATCAGCTGTTGCATCCTCACCAATGTTCAGTATGAACTGTTGGTTTGTGTCATAAACTTGCTGAATTTGCTGTGTCAGAGAAATATGTTGACCCTGCATGAATTTGACCATAATCAAAGTAACAAGCAGGGAAATAGGGTAATCGTATCAGGTAACAAATGCTTCATCATCAGATTCTATTTAAGTGTCAAAAGCATCAAAGGACTAATAGAACTGATCAGTTTTAACATCAAAAGCAGAAAAACTCCAAAATCGTCATTTCCTATCATCTCAATAAACAGCCAAGTTAACTAGGATCTTGACATATTATCATTTTCATCTTTAGCAGCAACCGAGTCCTTGTACTACAGCTGATTAATTATCGACACTTCTTGACCGATAAAATAAACAATTTACAACCAAATATGATCTGTGTAAAACCAAAAAACAACTACAGGCGGAAATATCTTACCAATTCAGAACCACTGGAGAAAATTATCCCAGCACCAGCAGATGCATAATTCACTCCTTTCATCATATCCTCAATAGAACCACCTTGCCCAAGGTAACTGGGAACAAACGGCAACCCAAGACGCAATGCTGTTGATATTAACCATCAAAATCAAACAAAATAAAAGATCCAGATATAAATGACAATCATCCATGAAGAAGAAACAGCCCAAGAAACATACTCGGTTTTTCATCTTCTTCTAAATTAAAGAAACTAATTAACTGGAAAAATAATAACAAAATTAAATCAGCCCGGCTCAGCTCCAAGAAAATAAAAAAACGAAGCACCCCATAATCTTTATTCCCATCCTCTCGAACTCCATTAGGCCATCTAAAAACCCAAGTCAAAAATCAAGAAAAAATGAACAGGAAATTACCAATGTAGTCAACAGGGATTCTTCCGTTGCAGAAACGTCCAGTGGGCTGATGTGTATCAAAGTCTTTCCCGTAAGGAAGCCTATCAGCACGAGCAAATGTTCCAAGAAAGTTATTGGTCCCACAATCAACAGAAGAATCGCCAATTACGAACAGGGCAGGGACTTTAGTGGGAGAAATCTGTGGGTCTGGAGGGAGATGAAAAGTAACATTTCTTGGTTGAGATGGAGAAATTGTGTCCAACATCTTGATCAGATTTGGGTTTGCATCGTGTTTGTGGTTGAAACCTTGAGCTGTAATCGCCGTTGAGGTGAGGTAGAAAATGAAGATCAGAATCAAAATGCGGCAGAGTTCTCGAATTGACTCCATGAATGAACTGAGAGCGAGACGGAGAGGGGCTCTGTGAAATTTGGCGGGTAAAGAAAGAGGCGGTTGAGCTATAACTAACTATACAAATCCCAAATAATAAAAAGAACTGCCCTTTGAAACGTGTAATATTTTTGTGACTTCAAGAACTCGTTATATATATATATATATTTTTTTTGTCTACACAAGGATGTCCAGATCAATCCTTACGGGGCCCGACTAATCCCCTGCGACCCGGCCAGGCGCCCCAACCCGATCCAAGCACGATATGTGCGCGAAGGAATCCAGCGGAGCAGAGACTCGAACTTGGGACCTATTGGTCACCGGTGGAAGGTGCTACCGCTGGACCATTCACGCGGGGGACCCAAGAACTCGTTATATACTTGCTTTTTTTTTTTTGCGGTAGGCTCTCTTCTGGTGCCTCATAATACCAAAAAAAGATTTATTAGTAGCCTAATCCCTTGATTCGCATTTTTTTCCTTTTTTTAATTAAATAAACCTTCGGCTCCTTCTTACACCTTTCCTGCCTCCAACATTCAACTTCAAAATTATGCTTTACTAGAATTTCAGGTTAGAACACGGATTAGATATTTAAGTAATAACATACTTGTATTTGGGAGATGTTCACCATCTCGAACATGGAGCTACAACTCTTTTCTTTCTTCCTTTATATGCAGTGCTAAAGCTCTAACTTCAATTTAAGCCGACCACCAAAAAGATATACAGCATCCAATATAGTAGAACAAAATGCACTATGCCATTAATTTCTACCGACAACAAGGTATATGTATCCTATTAACGCTAACCAAAAAGGATGGAATGGAAATGTACTTGGATAATTTGAATTCCAAAATTTTCCCCAAGCCTGAGCATTTTGCTGGTGCACCGGCCCCAGCACTACTTAACGGTAACGAGGGTGCATGCATGAGCTAGTGGAAACTGACTAGCAGCTCAGAAACAACCGATCAAAATATACAGTAATCGTATACTTGCTGTGTCCATTATGTTGATGCCATAATTATTTATCTTTGTTTGAATGAATGCATAAAGCTGATTAACAAGTTACAACAAGATAATATATATAGAAAAATGTCTTCAAACTGTATGTAGAAGTTTATTGGTAAACTTCTTCGTGACCTACTCATAATCATTTCCTTCTCCGAGAGCATTATAACTTCCACAACACTTCCGCGAATATTGTTAAATAAGACAAAATCCTGTTCACAATAGTAATTCAGAAAGAAGTAAGGTGTAGTTTTGACTTTTGATGGAACTTAATATTAATATAACACCGTGAAAGATATGCAGAGGATAGGGCAAAAACTAGTTGATGTATTGACTTTGAAAGTACAAGCAAAAAAAAAAAAAGAATAATTATTGGTTACCAGCTTATTTGAAAAAAAAAAATTTTTGGTTGTCCTGCTTTGCTTTGTCCACGGAAGGTATAGTATGGGAGCACAACTTTGTCAGAGCAACAATTCATTAACATTTTTTTTCAACTATAATTTAAGGAATTAGCCTTTTCAACTAGTGCTGTTAATCGAACCGGGTAACTCGTGAGTCGAGCTTGACCCAGCTTGTTAAGGGCTCGACTCAGCTTGTTTAATGAGAAAAACAAGCCAAGCTCGAGTTGTATATATATATGCTTATTGGTGCAAACTAATTTCATTCACACGCTGATTTCGCTCAAAAGCTGCATCATTCACGCGCTATTTTCGCTCAAGAAAGTTGTTTTTAACTTTTAGACAATTGAACTTAAACATGTTGGTCAACTTGGTCTAGAGTTTGGACATTTTAAAATCTGTTTATAACTATTTGATAGCTGATGTTTAATTGTTGGGACTACTTGAATTGTGAACCACTTGAATTGTGATTTCTGTATCTATTTCAACTGCAGATTTAGTTGTGAATTTGCCTGAAAATTTTGTTAACAAATTAGACAATAATGATTGCTAACATCCAGGTGTTTGAGCTCAAGTCTCAAGCTCACCGAGCTCGTTAAGCTCAACTCAATTTTGAACTCGAGTTTGAGTTTCAACCAAGTTTGACGAATCGATTTCGAACGGCTTTTGAAACTCGAACTACTAATCGAACGAGCTCGAACTAGTTCAATTGGAGGTTCGAGTCGATTTCGATTATCCGATGCTCGAGTTCGACTTGACTCGATTAACAATTCTACTTTAAACGGATGGATAAAACTAAAGCTTCCTGGGATCATGACCATTCCCAAGACATGAAAGTAAGAGAGATTAAGGTTGTGTTTGGATTGCATTTTCCGTCATTTTTCATGGAAAAATTACTGTAGCGATTTGATATATGTGAGGGAAAAAGGTGATAGGGA